TATGTGTTTGTGTGTGTGTGTGTCTTTATGTGTGTGTGTGTTGTTGTCTTTTGTAGTACGTTTGCATTAATTTTATGTATTATGATGGGTACATTGGTTTAGCTTGTTTACGTCAAATCGCTTAGCCTATGCATATGCAGCACTCGTAGTAGTAGTAGTAGTAGTAGTAGTAGTAGTAGTAGTAGTAGTAGTAGTAGTTGTTGTTGTTGTTGTTGTTGTTGTTGTAGTTGTTGTAGTTGTAGTAGTAGTAGCAGCAATACTATTAGAAGTAGTGGTAGCAGTAGCAAAGATTGCAGTAGTGACTGTAGTAATACTGCAGTAATAGAAATATACACGCATATACACACACACATACACACACATACACACACGTACATTCACTCACACGCACATATATACACACATTCAGAAGATTGTAAATTTTTTTAAAAACATTTTTATTTCATCTTTCAAATTTGGATATCATATCTGAGGGACGCTGAGATTTTTATCCTTGAGGATCTTTGACAGCCAAAAATTAATTAGTTTTTTCTTTTTTTTGTATCTCAACAAAAAATTATTTTTCATTGTCGTTTTACTTCTGAAGACCATTTTTTAATTCCAAAGAATTATTTTCGATCATTATTGTTATTACTTTATTATTATAGTTAGTATAATTATCAGTAAAATTAGTAGTCGTAGTAGTAGTAGCTGTAGTAATAGTAGAAGTAGTGGTGGTGGTGGTGGTTGTAGTAGTAGTAATATTAGTTGTAGTAGTAGTGATTGGTAGTAGTGATTAGTAGTTGTTGTAGTAGTAGGTAGTAGTAGGTAGTGGTAGGTAGTAGTAGTAGTAATAGTATTTTCTCCTCAATCAACTCTCAGACATAGTGTATGCGAACACACGCATCTAACACACACACACACACACACACACACACACAGTGATTGTGACAGTCCGTCCATGCGTCCATACCCAATCCATGCATTCGAATCCAGTAACTGCAAAAGAACGAGCAGGCGCCTTAACCATTACACCATCTCGCCACCCTATGTATTTTGGATACGTAAATGAAAATCACATGTGGTGCATGGTGCATGACACACGAAGAATTGCATTATACACAGAGTGTTGTAAATAACTGCATGCCTGATTCATTCCACTGCCCAATGCTTTGATATGAATAATTTAGTGAATGCAAGCATGGATTGATGATAGAAGATAGATTGATGGACGAGTAAATAAGTAAATTAATGAATGGATGAATGAATGAATGAATGAATGAATGGATGGATGGATGGATGAATGAATGAATGAATGAATGAATGGATGGATGGATGAATGAATGAATGAATGAATGAATGAATGAATGAATGAATGAATGAATGAATGAATGAATGAATGAATGAATGAATGAATGAATGAATGAATGAATGAATGAATGAATGAATGAATGAATGAATGAATGAATGAATGAATGAATAAAAGATTGAATTAATGAATGAATGAATCACTCAATCAATCCTTCATTCAATCAATCAATCATTGAACGAACGAAACCGAACTTACTCTAACTATAAAATATTTGAATGAAAAGAAAAAAACTCAAAAAGAATCCAATCAATTAATTGATTAATTAATCAACGTGAAAACAGAACTAGCAATAAAACCATAATTAATCAATTAATTAATTAATAATTAAAAATTTAATTAAATAACCAATTATTTATTTAATTAATTAAAACCATTAACCTGAGAAAATCAGTGTGAAAAGGGTAATTAATTTAGAAAATTGAGACAAGTGTTGATTACTATTTGGAATGGTCATCGCGAAATGTGTGTCGACCATTCAATAAAATTTCAATCAAACTTTGGCGGCAACATTTTGTCGTAGTAGTAGTAGTTGTTGTTGTTGTAGTTGTGGTAGTTGTAGTAGTGGCAGAAGTGGCTGTCGAACTTGTAGTAGGAGAAGACGTCGTCGTCGTAGTTGTTATTGTTGTAAACAAAATTTTTTTTTTTTATCTACGTTGTTATTATTGTGTGCGCTTAATTAGAAAAGTGGGGAAGAAACGAATGCATTGTTTGCTTTGTATGTATATGTGTGTGTGTTTGTATGTGTGTGTATGTATGTATGTATGTTTGTATGTGTGTGTATGTATGTATGTATGTAAGAATGTATGTATGTATGTATGTATGTATGTATGTATGTATGTATGTTTGTATGTTTGTATGTTTGTTTGTATGTTTCGCTTCAGCACATCAGCGCAGATCTAATCACGTTCCTCGCCTGTTCAATTCAAATGCCGCAAATTTCGACGTCCTTAATTGAAGATGCTGTTGTATGAATGAATGAATGAATGAATGAATGAATGAATGAATGAATGAATGAATGAATGAATGAATGAATGAATGAATGAATGAATGAATGAATGAATGAATGAATGAATGAATGAATGAATGAATGAATGAATGAATGAATGAATGAATGAATGAATGAATGAATGAATGAATGAATGAATGAATGAATGAATGAATGAATGAATGAATGAATGAATGAATGAATGAATGAATGAATGAATGAATGAATGAATGAATGAATGAATGAATGAATGAATGAATGAATGAATGAATGAATGAATGAATGAATGAATGAATGAATGAATGAATGAATAGATGGACGAACGAACAAACAAACGAACAAATGAATGAATGAATGAGTGAATGAATGAGTGAGTGAGCGAGTGCGTTAATGAATGGATAACAGATCAAATAAATAGATGAATGATAGAAGATTGCACGGTATAATTCATAAATGAATAATTAAATTTTCAAATATTTATAAGTAAAATTTAAAAAATGAATTTTTAAATATGTCAATGAACGAAAGAACGGCTAAATGAATGATTGAACGAAGGAATAATTTTACGAATGACTGGATGACAGAATGATGTATGTACGTATATATGTTTGTATATGTGTTTGTATGTACGTATATGTGTATGTATGTGCGTTTGTATGTATCTATGTAACTGTGCATGTGTGTATTTACGTGTGTGGGTTTATGTATGTATGTGTTTATTTGAAATACAAAATGTGAATTTGGTTGTATGAACATTCTTAGAGCCAAACAACAAAACACATGCTGATACTATATATAAACCTACAAACAAACATACCGGTAAGGATACAAATAAATATACATACATATGCATACAAAAATACAAATATACATACAAACAAACAACTTGACACCAGTACAAACAAACCATTTTCGGTAGAAAGAGCAGGAAAAAAATCTGTGACAATATCCAAAAGCATTGAAAGTTCTAATGTTCAAACGCAGAGAGCTTGTTTTCTGGTATGGATGCATACATGCATACAAACATACATACATAGATACATACATACATAGATGCATACATACACATATACATACATACATACAAACAAACAAACATAACATACATAACATTCGTGTTTCCAAGCATGTGATCACATTCATTTATATATAAATATACATATGTATATATTATATACATATATATTATATATGTTTGTTTATTTGTGTATATTGGGTGTATGTATATAAATATATGTGTGTGTTTGTGTGTGTGTATGTGGTGTGTGTGTATGTGATGTGTTTATTTGTTTGTGTGTGTGTGCGTGTGTACTGTTCAATACATATGTACCTACGTCAAAAGATGTCAAACATAAAGGTTACATGAGGTCAAAGCAGAGGAAGAAAATATATTCAACTGCGTATAAACATCGACGTTGTTTTAGTGTTGCATTGTTGCAATGTTTTTAAATCCTCCAAACGTTTTTTTTTGTTCATTCAATGTTTTCCTTTTTTCTGTATAAAAGGATAAAAATTATTACTACTTTTTTATTTCGGCTTAGTCCAAATTAAGAAATCTCATATTTTTACATCGGCACGTTTTATTGAATAGAAATCAAATAAAAAAATAGGATGCCGGCCAAACAATCATTGTTTGGATCGTTTAATTTCAGCATGCTGTTTGCCCTGGAGATAGGCTTTTTGGGTCATTAGTAATGTATGCGCATAATGTATGTATGTATGTATGTATGTATGTATGTATGTATGTATGTATGTATGTATGTATGTATGTATGTATGTATGTATGTATGTATGTATGTATGTATGTATGTATGTATGTACGAATGTATGTATGTATGTACGAATGTATGTATGTATGTATATTAAATGTGAAAATGTATTTCACTGTGTATTTACATTCACACAGACATACATACATACATACAAACATACATACAAACATACAAACAAATAAACATACGTGTACATAACATAATTCATTTTATTTGGCCTGCTGTGTGTTGATGCATGCCTCTGTCCAATCATTGGTGAAGATTTATATCTGATACCATTAGGACAAACAAAATACATTCAGCCTTTCACATAAAATGGATACCTAACTTTGCATGTGTGTTTGTATGTGTATGTTTGTGGTACCAACCTTTGTATTTATGTTTGTATATGTGTATGTTTGTGATACCTACTTTTGAATGAATGTTTGTATATGTGTAGGTTTGTGATACTTACGATATGATACGATGCGATACATTTTATTTGTCTCCGAAACATACCTTAAAAACAATATCTTTGTATGTATGCTTGTATGTGTATGTGTGTACGTATATGTGTGAACGTATGTATGTCATATGTGTGTTTCTCAGTGATTATGTCATTTTTTTCGATTTTTTATTAACATTACTATAACTCTCGAAAAATAAGCTCCCGTACCGGCGATACTTTTTTCCGAGTTGGCTTTGGTACCGGTAAAACTTCTATGTCGGGTCTCGATTAATTTTTATTTTTTTTGTAATATATTAATATTAATATAATATATATAATTAATAAAATAAAATATAATTAATATTTTTTTTAATTTAATTATTTTTTTAATATATTAACACAAAATGCGTCAAGGATAAATACTAGTTTTTTTTCCTCCATAGAACCGTTCAGAAATACAATCGAATGACTTCTAGCTATGCTGAAACTAATTTCGAAAACGAATATCGGTATTTTAAAGCCGATATTAATGTCGGTATTGACGGTACGAAATTTGACAACTGTTAATAACTCTAACACACACATACACACACACTAAAACACAGACACACACACACACACGAAAACACAGACACACAAACACTCACACACAAACACTCACTGTTTACGTTGTTATCCACACACACGCACACATACAGAGCACAATGACAAATAGTACAACTACACATACAAAACACACACGCATATACATAGACACACATACACACATGCACACGTATACACACACACAGAGGCATACGCATGCACACGCGCACATATATACAAATATACAAACATATACAACATGCGAGATTTATTTATTTATTGGCTTTATTTATATTCTGTCTCCATTTCATTTTCACCGCCCAAATCTACTAGGGTGAATTATTATTTAATAAAATGTGGCCAAAACACGTTTGTTGTTCTTATTGTTGTTGTTGCTGTTGTTATTGTTGTTGTTGTTATTGTTGTTGTTGTTATTGTTGTTATTGTTGTTGTTGTTGTTGTTGTTGTTGCTGATGACATTATTGCTGCTGTCAACAACGGCGAAACATTAACAACATGACTTAATTCCTACACAACGACGCACCAACTTCAAACCGCCAACAACAACGACGAAGACAACAACAACAAACACCATTCACACCAAACAACAGCCAAAAACGACATCCATCAACAAACATGACATCAATAGGAGAAGCACAACAAAACTACCACAACATTAACAACAACATCAACATCAACAAATCCAATAACAACAACATTAACAACAACAACATCAACAACATCATCTACAACATCATCTACAACATCAACAACTCCAACAACAACAACTCCAACATCAACAACAACATCTACTCCAACATCATCAATAACTCCAACATCAACAACATCAACAACATCATCAACAACAACAACAACATCATCAACAACTCCAACATCAACAACTACAAAACAACAACAATGACTCCCGTCGGACAATTTATTAAAAAACGCTCTGGGAGCCAACATTTTTTTAATGAAAACTTTGAAACGTAAACAGAAAAAATGCCTTTTTTTCACCAACACGGCATCAACAAAAATGACAACAACAAAAACAATGACGTCATAAGTAAATGTTGAAAACAACAACGACAACAACATCTTTGTAACATCAACAAAAAACAACCTCAACCTAGCAAAAGAATCATCATTGTAACGACAAAAACAGCAGCAACAACAACAACAACTTCATGGCATCAATAAAAATTACAACAATGTGGCATCTGAGTAGAAACAACAATAATATTACATTTGCATTGTAAAAACATCATCATCGACATCACAACAACAACAACAACAACAATAAACACAACAACAACAACAACATCATAAAAAACAGAAATGATAACAGAAATGACGGCCTCAACCTTATACAAATGCATATAATATAATCCGACCAAGAGACCAAACCGCGTAGATAACATACGTACACATGCAGACATACAAACATACATACAAACAAACATACATACATACATACATACATACATACATACATACATACATACATACATACATGCATTAATACACACACACATATACATACATACATATATACATGCAGACAAACAAAAATACAAAAAACATACAAACAAGCATGGGTACATACATACATACACGCAGACATACAAACATATAAACAAACAAACATACATACATACACACATACATACATACATGTAAACATACACAAATACAAACATACATTCGTACATCGCTTCATTATACCAGTAATTACTTTTATTATTTAGGAAAAAAGTTCCATCTAAATGTATCGATCACTGATTATGTTATCATCTTAACCATCATCATCACCATCATCGTTATCAACATCAACAACATCATCAGTTCACATTATTATTATTAATGTTATTAGCTATTATTATTGTTGTTGTCGTTATTTGGTTATTATTATTGTTATTATTATTATAATTATTATTGATATTATTATTGTTATTTGGTTGTTGTTATTGTTGTTTGTATTAGCATAAACATCAACACAATAAGGTTATAAACATCAACACAATAAAGTCATAAACATCAACACAATAAAGTCAAACAACAACAACATCAATTAACGAACGATGGTACCAACTACAAGATCATTAATAACAACAACAACACCAACAACAACAACAACAATAGTATCATCATCAACAACAACAACAACAAAGACGTCACAACAACAAAAGCGACGTCATCATCAACTGGTATAGCGCTCAATTTAACAGCAGCAAATTACTATATAATAGCTACTAAATAGCTGTTACATAATTTTCTTGCCGACTTAGTAAATTTGGCATAAAGCTAATGCTACTACTTTTATTACTACTTAATTGCTAGTAATTTTGTTGTTGTAGTTTTTGATGATGATGATGGTGTTGTCGCTGATGTTGTTGTTGTTGTTGTTGTTGTTGTTTGTATTCTTTTTCTTCTTCTTCTTTTTCTTCTTCTTCTCCTCCTTCTTCTTCTTCTTCTTGATTGGTAAGTAACGCTAGTAACATAGTAGTTTAGTAGCATCAAAAGTAGAAGCGTCAATAGTAGTAGCAGTAGTAGCCATAGTAGGAGTAGTAGCAGTAGTAGCACTAGTAAGAGAAGTAGCAGTAGCGCCTGTAGTAGCAGCAGTAAAATTTCTATCGCCAATGTTTGCATTTTTTGTATTCATAAATGAGATTTGATTGCATCTTATCATAACGTTGAAAAAATTCATTTTTTCGTTTGTTCATTTATTCATTCATTTATCCACTCAATTTATTTATTCATTCGTTTATTCATTCTTTTATTCATTTATTTGTTTATTCATTCATCATTCATTCACTCATTCATTCATCCATTTATATTTATTTCACATTAAAAATCATCTACATGAAATTTTATGTTAGATGTTTTTACGTGCACAGCATACGCATACACCCAGCCATCCATGCATTCATTCACTCTGCATTCCTTCCTTCATTCATACATTTACACACTCATTCAGCCACTCTCTCATTCATCCAATCACATTCATCCATTCGTCTTTATTTATCTCACATTTAAAAACATCTACGCGAAATTTTATATCGGTTGTTCATACGTTCAATCACATCTATCCAACTATCCATTCATTAATTTATTCATTCATTTGTTCGTTCTTTCGTTAGTTTGTTCGTTTATTCATTCATTCGTTCATTCATTCATTCATTTATTCATTCATTCACTCACTCACTCACTTACTCATACATTCATTTGCTCATACATTCATTCACTCATTTATTCATTCACTCACTCATTCACTTATTCATTCATTCACTCACTCATTCATTCATACATTCCTTCTTTCACTCATTCATGTTTATTCCGCGTTTAAAAACATCTAGAAGCAAATTTATGCCTAATGTTTATACGTGCATGGGCACAATGGCTGGATATATGTTGGAATGTTGCTATTTGAGCATTTATTTAGCTCAAACTTTATGCTCGCCATCGTCATTACTACTAATGTGCCAGGCAGCAGTTGTTCATTCATCCATTGAATGAATGAATGAATGAACGAACGAACTAACTAACGAACGAATGAATGCATGCATGCATGAATGGATTAATTTGCGGATGGATAATCGGGTAAAAAAATGAATAAATTAATGATTGTTTGGCATTGTTATTACTACTAATTTGATGTTAACAGATGTTTATTCATCTAGTAAATGAATGGATGAATGAATGGATAAATGAATGGATGAATGGATGGATGAATGGATGGATGAATGGATGGATGAATGGATGAATGGATGAATGGATGAATGAATGGATGAATGGATGGATGAATGGATGGATGAATGGATGGATGAATGGATGAATGAATGGATGAATGGATGGATGAATGGATGGATGAATGGATGAATGGATGAATGAATGGATAAATGAATGGATGAATGGATATGAATGGATGAATGGATGGATGAATGGATGGATAAATGGATAAATGAATGGATGAATGGATGGATGAATGGATGGATGAATGGATGAATGGATGAATGAATGGATAAATGAATGGATGAATGGATGAATAGATGAATGGATGAATAGATGAATGGATGAATAGATGA